TATTCTTTTCATTAACATATAATTCCAAAAATAAATAATAATGACATATCACATAAGAACTCATAAGTCATCAGCACTGTCATTACTAAGAGGGTCTTTATTTGAATCATTAGTATGATGAACTGTTCTCTCCCCTTCCTCCTCTCCTATAGAGTCCAATGTCTCCCAATCAGGTCTTTCCTCATTATCAGTTTTATTGTAAGAGTAATTTTGAAGTTCTGCTTGTTTTTAAAGTTCATAAGTTGTTTGTATGGAAAGATACCGCTCGGTACCGAGCATGTACCGCTCGGTAACGAGCATGTACCGCTTGGTACCGAGCATATACCTGCTCGACTGAGCGTTACTAGCTCGGTACCGAGTATGTACCTAGTGGTACCATGCATGTACTGAGCGGTATCGAGCATGTACCAGCTCGGTATCGAGCATGTACCTAGTGGTGCCAAACATTGTTGTACCGAGTATATACCTAGCAGTCTCAATATGGAAGGAAGCGGACGCCGAACGAGGAGGAAAAAATGTCGTGGTAGAAGATAACTCCAACCCAACTTGCGGTAGAAGATAACTCCAAGCAATAAACGAAGAGCGACTCAATGTGGAAGGACGCCGACGCCGAACGAAGAGGGAAAAAGGTCGCTCGAAGAAGAAGGGAGAAAACCTATTTTCGGGAAATGACGGAAGATTGCGCGGGGGTTGGGGGGTCTGAACCGAACAAATATATATTAGGTTAGCTTTTTTTTTTTTAATTTTTAGAAGCAGAAGCCTCTCAACCGTGAGGCGAGGTGCGCCTTGAGGCGCGCCTCAGTAAACTTGAGGCGTACACCTCAAATCCTGAACTCATTGCGTAGGCTTTGAGGCTTAAATGGGCAAAATTGCGCTGAGGCGCGCCTCTTATTGCCCAATTTTAAACCATGTGCTCATTTATTTCAATACGCCATAGATGTAAGAAAAAAAAATAGTTCTATTAAATAGTATTTGCATTAGAAATGGAGAAATAAAATAATATTTAAGAAGTCCATAAACATAGGACTGAGTACAACTATTCTTGAAGGTACCTATCAACCAACATTTTCTTGGAATAGCTATGAAACGTACCTCCAAAAGACAGGGAAATGGCTTGAATGCAATGCAGCCAAACATTTTCTTTTTTCAGCTTTGTCAAAAATTAAAACTCTGAAAAAGCAGAGCCAAATGCAGCCGAAAATTACCTCCAAAATGAAATTTTAAGAAAATGAATCTCTCAATGTGAGAAAATGGCTTTCTCAAATGTGGTGCAGACAAACATCCTCTTTACTTGCTTTTTGTCTTTCTCAAAAACACAAAGCTCTCAAGAAGCCAAGACAAATGCAGTCTAAATCTGCTGCAAATATTGTGAAGTCTTGTTTACTTGTAGTTTTCCTCTCTTTGTTGTTGGTATATCTGCATAAAATTTTAATGATGCTTGATATGCTAGTCAACAAGTGAGAAATCCCAATTAATGTTGATGTTATATCACATTCTTCATAGATTTTTCATCGCATGTCACTAGAAATTACTGATTAGACTGCTTTCCCTTCAAACCATCTAGCATGTTTTAATTAATATGTTTTAGTGGAGGCTAGAAAAGGCTTTAGATAAGATGGGCTATAGATGAATATATACCAGATGATAATGTAAGCTGAGGATAAGTGTTGATGGCTGCTGAAAACATCATGACAGATTCAAAACAACTAACATACAAATGTAAGTGTCATTTAAGTACTACTGAATGCTGCAATCGTCAAATGCAGATTAGCAGCTGAAACTTTTCCAATTTTAAGATATTTCGACTTGTGTAGTTCGAAGGGACATTTCAGTTCATGGTGATATATATATATATATATTATGTTAATCATTTTCTTTAAATTTCATGATTATTTTTGTTGATTAACTCATAAACTTGAAGAAAATTGACACCAACTCTCAATTATTAGCAGTTTTATCTTTTAACCTGTCAAGCCACCTTCAATTTGTTTTCTTTGTTTTTTTTTAAGTGAAACAATGTTCATGCAAACATGCTTTTGAAATGAAATATTTATTTTATTTAGATAAAATAAAGCAGTGGGCTTGAACTTTCTACAGTTGCAATCATCTTATTTACAAGTGTTTTTTTCTAATTTATCCTTCCTATCAAATATTATGTAATTGTTAGTGTTTGAGCTTTCTTTTTCTTGGTTGCATTCATGACATGTTGAAACATTTTTTGTGTTCAGCGCAAGTCTCTTCTGGAGATTCTCAAGCAAACAGTTTTAGACCATCTTACCAAAAAGTGTCCACCCCATGTGAGTTAGAAATAAAGTAAAAAACTGAAAACTAATTGAAGGAATGAGAATTTTGAAATTCTTCATCAATTTCATTGGTAATAATGTAATCAACCGCTCAAAACATTAGAACAGGTTCAAGTGATTGGATTGCTTTGCCGAACTCCTCTTAAGGAAAGCAGACATGAATTATTACGTCGAGTAGCTGGTGGTGGTGGTATTTTCAAAGGGGAAAATGATCTAAAGGTACAACTACCAGGAGCAAATCTGAATGATATAGCCAACCAGGCTGATGACCTGCTGGAGGTAAGGTTCTAAATTATCAGTGATAATCGCATTCTTATTTCATTCTTGAAATGTACTTAGAGGACTAGTTTTCTCCTCTTAAGCGAAAAATTTCTCACAGCTTTAAAACTTTTTTTTTCTCTGGGTGTTTGGCCATAGTTTGTAAAATCATCTCATAGATGCCTTCTATTACTTATTATCATATTTTGCTTGTTAGTAAGTAAAATTTTGTTCTAATGTGCAGCAAGGCAATCTCTCTGTCAATTAGCTGTTATGCAACTCATATTATTAAAATTTTATTTAGAAAGGTGTATTGATTACTAACCTATTGGGCATTTTGGCCATAAATATTTGGTAGGGACAATGCAATTTCTATTTATCCCTTCATATATGATTCACTAGGTGGAGACCAATGGAATTTTCATTTGTCAGTAGTAACTCTATAGCTTTTATTAAATGCAATATCCGACAGAACAAGAAAGAAAATTTCCAGGATAACTTTATTAGTATTTCTCCTTTCTTAATGATTGAACACAACATTGAAAATTATTAGAATAATATTTGTTATTTCTATATAATCAGGATATCTGTAATATTGATGATGTTATTTGGTTTGTAATTTGTTTAAACTCTGTGCTTTTGTACATATGGATTTATCGAATGAAACTTAGTTGATAATTCTATGAATATCAATCTCCGGATTCCAAAGCTAGAATGGAATTATTATGTGTATTAATTAACAGAGCTCTATAAGAAACATAGTTTCCTCTCTTTCCTATTTTTTTATGCGTTACAGACAATGGAAGCCAGGCCAACAGTTCCAGATAGAAAATTGCTTGCTAGACTTGTTTTGATCAGGGAAGAAGCCAGGAATATGATGGGTGGTGGGATATTAGACGAAAGAAATGATCGTGGCCTGAGCACACTTCCTGAAGCAGAGGTTTGTTTCATTTTCAGCTACTACGTATATATTTTCTAATAGCTTTGCTCTTTAAACGACTAGCATTCCTATGTTCATATAAATTGCGAATTTGTATTGTGTGGATTTCTTTATTGATCCATGACATTTGCGGAGATATTTGAAAGTTAGCAAACAAGTAACATCATGCTTAAGGAAAACATCTTTCACTGTGAGCGGCTTTCCTAAATGGACACTATAAGAAGTGTATGTATGAAGTTCCTGCCAATGTAGGGTGCGGGGAAGGGTTTATGTATGTAGCGTTACCCTTGCATTGCAGACAGACTGTTTTCATGTTTTGAAATTAAGACTTCCAGCTCATACTGGATCTGACAACCCCTCATCCAGGCCCATTCTTAACCTATATATGTTCTATATAAGAGCATGAAAATGGATAATGTCATGAATCCAATATGAATGCAATGTGGAACTTGCTTTCTTTCACACCGGAAGGAAATTTCAAATCTAACACCCGTGTACAGCAAACTCCATAGTAAATGATGCTGCAGAATTCAAATTTTAAAGAAATATCACCTTTTAGATTTAAACTATCAACTTTTATCAACATCATTTTTTGGAAATAAAGGCTTGATGTTGTTGTTGTTGTTGTATTTTTTGGAAATAAAGTTGTCATAGTTCACGTCCTTTTAAAATTTTTTGTGAGAAATAACCATTCATTTTAAATATCCTGAAGTAATATTTATTTCAATCCATGATCGTGAAAACAAAAATAAAATGAAGGCCTAGGTAAGGTAAAAGTATACTTAAACAGCAAGCTTGCAGATTAAGTTTTGACTATGTTGTTTGAATCAACCAAAATGCTCAACGTAAAAGTTATGGCGGATCATGCAGAACACACAGTTCTAAAAGTTGTGTTATTCCAAAATAGTGGGGTTAAAAGGCATAGTGTGTAACCAAGGGCTTAGGGTTTGTGAAATTTTGTTAGGTTTGGTTTAAAGTTGATTGGTTGGTAGGCTAATTATTTGCACCTGAGGGATTTGAGCAAAAAATACATCCATTGTGGATGACAGATGAAAAATAGAAACCTAAAAGCACACACCATTAAAAATTTCATGGATTCATTGAACGTGATCTTCATTACAACACACAGATCATTTGTTGAATTTCTGGGAATGATTTTTGGAATGATTTTGGGTTTTGATATTAAATGTCGTAAAGGGATGCCTTGAAAGATTTATAAAAGAAAAAAGAGAATGAGCATACAGTATAAGAGGGAGTGGAGCATGCTAAATATCATTCCAAGCAACAATTGTATTCTGCTCGTACATTGCTCTTTGGAACTCTATTTATAATAGAAGATTCTAAAACATGAGACCATCAATCAAATTTATTCTAAAAATTTGAGAAATGACCATATTTCTTATGATGATTAAAATAACGACTAAATAACAATTAATAACAAATCAATCTCGTGATGAGTTCGACTCAAAATTTTGAAGATCTAGCATTTCCGATTCCTGAATTAACATGTCATGCTTTCTATTGATGATCTCCTTCTCTCGTTCAAATTCGGACAGGAGTTGAAGCTTCTTAGCTTAAAATCTCTCGAAACTTAAATGCAGTTGTCTTTGAATCTTGAGAAGCTCATTTTGTAGAGGATTATAAGAATATGCTCGAGGTGGAACCCATTTTGTTGTTGGAAGCATGTCCTTAGGAATCCAAGGCATAGTTAAATGATTTTCTTGTTTGCCTTCAACTTGATTATTTTGACTTTCCATTTTTTTATTTTTAAATAAGGAAAGTTAGACACTCATAATAACCTTGACGCTCTGATACCAAAATGATGCAATAAAAAAGCATAATTAAGATTGCAAACAAAAAGTTTTTCTTTATAACATAAACATAACAAACTTACAAACATATTACTTATATTAATTTAGAGAAGAAGGATACAAGTGAAGCGGGAACAATGGATAGAGAAGAAGAGGCTAGAAGTCAAAGACGAAATATAAGAGGAGAAGGGGAAAGAAGACTTAGCTGGCAAGCTAAAAACCCCGCAGGTTTTTACATTCCAAACATTTACACATCCCAAAAAGCCTCCAAACAGCCCCTTATAAATAGGGAAATGGAATCCAAACAGC